ATGTCTATAAGTACACTAGTACCGCTCTGCAATCAGACAGGACCTATGTTAACAGTGATTCATGGTGTCCTCTGGACTACACACTGATGCACTTCTACTTCGCTACCAATACATGTCCATGTTGCAATTTAATAATTTTTTATTTATTTTTTGTATTTTTGATAATCGATTATTTGTTTTCATAATCGATTATCGAATTTGAGACTATAATCGATCCATTTTCAATTATAATCGATCATCGGGACATCACTAGTGACTGCCGCAGGCTATCAGATCTATCATCTATAATACTATTACTAGATTGTGTTTCACTGGACGATTGGCAGCCCGGATCCGCGCGAAGCGCGAACAACGCCGCCTCGCGGCATCACTAGAACAATTTCGCTGCACTGTTTCCAAAACGTTTTTGCCAGTTCCTTACGGAGTTAGAAGAAAGGCCTATAATCGCTCAATTGAGGAGTTGTGGCGATTGCAGAACCCTTTCGACTAGGCACGTAGGTCGAAGGTTCATAGAAATAGTCGTAATTGTTGGTTTGCTGCTCAGCGCGCATCGTTTTTTTGTAGAAAACGAATTTACCCTTTTTGGTGTTTCATGCCCTGAGATTATTTTAGAAGTTATCGCGTCCCATAGATGGCGCAACGAGTCCATGTACGTAGCATTTTCAAGTAGTTTTTTTTTATACGCTCGGCTCGCTGACCTAGAGTGCTGCGCGGTGGACAGTTCGACACGCTAGCGTAACTCACTTCAGTGTAGCCAACGATAGTTGGCTGAGTGAAGGTCGGTAGCAGTCTAGCCCTGCAATCGTCACTGCCGCTTCAACTTGTCGTATCCATCTTAAGAGACCTAACCCTAAGGGAAAGGGTTGTATCCCAAAATGCAGTGCGCCGCCTTTAGCCATGTACTTAAGTTTGTAACATCCATTGAGCAATTGAGCAAACGCGAGAATTTCGTCAGTCTGTGTGATTTCGCGTGACACAGCTCGGTTACGAACAGAGACATTATGTTTTTATAAGAAGTCAACACTGTTCTTCAAATAGAAACAAAGATCGAAGCTGTTGGATGAGTATTTGTTTTGAAATCGTATGAAATACAGCGAGTGTCGAGCGAATTTTGGAATCGCGCTTTCTTACCTGCTCTCTATATTAGTGCAAGCGTGCAACAGTCGCGCCGCGAGAGCAATGGCAGCCGGTAATGCAATGGTTGGAAACTATCGGCGGTGTAGCCGTAGGTGAAAGAGAGTAGGCCTGGCTATAGTATAGAAACATTAAGAATTTTGTACTAAGTAAATAGATTTCGTATTTAGTTAGCATTATATTTTATTGAAACGCTTCAAGTGCCTGTGCCTTCAGTCGTCGACTCTATGCAATGCTTTTTCTATATGGAAAAGTACCAGAGCCTACGTACAGGCATATATTACATCCAGACCTGCCAACCCCATCTGATGATCATCAGTAATAATTATTGGATTTTTCCGTAACAAATAGGCATTTGTCAGTAACACCGTTTTGTCAGTCTTATTACAGTATAATAATAACATAATTAGCATAAAGATGTCATTTGGCAGTTCCACACATACACACAAGCGTGCGCGCGCACACACACACACACACACACACTGATAGTCTTATGACTTACCAGCCATTGATGCACACTGATCTCACTGTCTGAAGGTACATNATATCTGTAGTACCGCACGAAAGGTCGTTGTCGTAACAGGTACTACAGATATGTACCCGAGGTAGTTTTAGGTTGTTTAGTATTTTATCGCCCGATCGCGGCGATTAAAATCGCCAGCGAATGTAATCGCCCGATCACGAAGGGGCACACGTAGCGAATTTGAGAGTGTACGCGTACGCCACTCGACAGAATCACATGATCACAGGATGCATCACATGATATCAACAACACGTCCGATTGGTTTAGAAAAATCGATCGGGCGACAAAATACGCCGGACACGGGCACACGAGCGAATTTACCAGTAAATAATCGCCGGCGTAAATAATCGCCCGAAAATATCTAACATTTTGGATACGGGCGATTCGTACGAGCGATTAAAATCGGCGTCGACGTGAACGGGCACACGGGCGAATTTTTCGAGCGATTTTAAAATTCGCGGCGATCGGGCGATAAAAATCGCTCGTGTGCCCCTACCTTTAGTGTTAGGGTTAGGGTACACTTCTGTAGTACAAGTCTGGTACACTTGTGTATACATATATGTACCTCGGGTACATATCTGGGTTCAAGGATGGAGATGATGTCCAGTAGGTAATCCTACGGTGATTTGGATAGGATGATGTTAGTTGATAAGATAGGACTGGACATCTTCTCTATCCCTGAGCCCATATCTGTAGTACCTGTTACGACAACGACCCCTTGATCTTTAGTATGTCCGCATTAAATTTAGGCGGGTGATGATGGAAGGATAAAGACAAAGTCAAGAAATTATGAAAATTACTTACCTGTAGCCAGAAACCTTAGAGTAACTGATAGCCTTTCTTTGGCTGTTATAGCTTGTCGCATAACAGTGTCTTCTTTAGTGATCTTGTCCTTGATGGAGTCCAAAATATGTGAAAACGACTCGGGGCTCATCCTCAAGTATTGCCTAAATCCTTCTGTGTCTTCTAAAAACAGTTCCTGCTGCAAGTTTCGTACAATTCCCAGTGTTTGCCGTCTTTGAATCCACTGCCTCGTCCATATTTGACGGTTTCTTCTATTTCTTTGCCGGCGTAAACGCTTCAAAATGATTAAAATACACACAGCAACTTGATGCAAATTGACGGCTGCCATTTTCCAGGAAAGATGGCGCCACCTTGCAGAAATTTATCGTAGGTGTGCGGGTGTTTATCGTAGGTGTGCGGGTGTTTATCGTAGGTGTGCGGGTGTTTATCGTAGGTGTGCGGGTGTTTATCGTAGGTGTGCGGGTGTTTATCGGAAGGCGTCGCGATGAGCCGATTTTACAAACGATGAAGCGATGAAGCGATGAAACGATGTAGGTGTGCGGCGGCCTTTAGCAAGTAAGTAAACAACCCACGACAACCCCACGACAACCCTCTCCGCTGCATGGTACTACACAACCTGGATAACCAAGTCCTCATGGATCACCGAATCC